GGCAACGTCCAAAATAATTTTCTGCTAGTTGGGGTTCTTATGAAACAACCTCCGACTCCACACGAAAGATGGGTCCCAACAACGATTTGGTCGAACAAAGTTGAAAGATTTGGTAGTAAAAGAAGTTGGAATTAAGTTAATAATTCCCAAAAAATGAATTAGTAAGTTAAAAGTCGAGAAAATGCCCATCAAGATTAACTCCAAACGAAATTCTACGTAATATAGGTGTCTATTATTAATTTTTCCGGTTTATAAATAACAAACCTTGTCAACACATTCAAAATGTTGGGTATACTTTACACAGCTTGTAGGAGGTTCCATATGAGACTAATCGTTCATTAGTTTCCTCCTAGTTTCTGTTGTGTTTTCATGTGGATGTTTCAAAAGGAAAAGGTTTTACATGGGGGGGGGGGGATTGCCTCATCTAACATGTAGGGTTGTTTTGGTAAAAATCAGATCATGATCCTAAAAGTAATTTACAGTATATAAAATAAGTATGCGAGAGAAATTTTGTTTTAACTTGCGTGAAAGTACTTTGGAGGTATCCAAGCATCCTGTATGTGTATGGGTGTGAGCTAGTAATAAAGTCCCACATCCGTTAATTCTCAAGAAATTCAAGTGACTGTTACTTATAAACAGGCAGTGCCTAATACTAACAAAAAATGCACCAAGTTCTTGAGTTTTCAAGCTCTTCTTTCCCCGTACATTCAATCTTCTATTTATTTACATTTTTTTAAATATTTTTTGCCATTCTGTTCCCTGCTAGAAGCAAGGTTTCTTTAATCCTAATAATTCTTAAGAACAGTTTTTTCACGGCTCGAATCAAATTTATTTTTATTTACTCGTATATTTTTGCAGTTAATTCTTCACTTCTTCTTTTTTTCCCCAAATTCAGAATATGGAAAACAAACAATAAGGTAATTAAATCTATCTTATCACCGTTATGATCATATATATATATTGTTTGCATTTTGTATACGCTTTACCATGCGTTTTGCAGAGAGGGAAGGATAAAGTCAGGCTAGTACTGTCATGTTCCCAGTTTTCTTTTTTTCCTTTCAAAATTTAACACGTAAGTTTCTTTTTAAAAAGTTGAGACTGTGGCCCTTATGTCACGATGTGTCCTAAAGAATTTTCTAGTGCGAATGGAACAGGGACGTCGTAGAACTATAAACTAATATCCGTAATGCAAGTTCCGGGGAACTCCCGAAATACTCCTCCGATACTAAATATAAAATCTTTATACACATTAATATAAGAGTTTTATATTTAAGACCGGATGAGTAATAACTAAGGACTTGAAGCCCGTGTTCTCCTACCTTTTAATCAGGCAGCAAAGTAATCATAATTTATTTCTTTAATTTTTTAAATCTAAAAAGGTAATGACACAGGTACGATTGACGATGATAATTTTGTGCTAGTTTGGGCTGCTAAGAAACAACCTGCAATCCCACTCGAAAGATGGGTCCCAGCAACGATTTTGGTCGAAGAAAGTTGAAAGATTTGGTGGTAAAAGAGGTTGGAATTAAATTAATAATTCCCGGAAAATGAATTATTAAGTGAAAAGTCGAGATAATACTCATTGAGATTAACTCCAAACGAAAATCTATGCAAATATAGGTCTCTACTATTAATTTTTCTTTTTTATAAATAACAAGGGACACATTCAAAATGTTGGGCATATTTTGCATACTACCTCCTGTCCTTAATATAAAAACTAGTTAACTAATTTGAGTAGATTAAGAAAATTAGTTAAACTAATTATTTGTAACAAATAGGTATTGTCTTTTTTAAAATATCCTTACTAATAAATATATTAGTTAGAACTACCACTATTACAAGAACTATCTTAAAAAAATAAATAACTATGAGAGATAAAATGAATTGAGATCTTCTATTTGGAATCAAAATAAAAACTAAACAAGCTCTCATATTAAGAATACTAGGTAGTAGCTTGTAGGGAGGTGCATATGACACTAATCCTCCATTTGTTTCCACCTACTTTCTGTTGTGTTTTGATGTGGATGTGTGAAAAGGAAAAGGTCCCACATGAAAAAAAAAAAATCCCTCATCTAACATGTATATGTGTGGGTGTGAGCTAGTAATAAAGTTTCACATCAGTTAATCCCAAAAAATTCAAGTGACTGCTACTTATAAATAGATAGTATCCAGTGCTAGCAAAAAAATGTACTAAGTTCTTAAGTTTTTGAACTCTTCTTTTTCCCTGCATTTAATCTCCTATTTATTTACATTTTTATATCTTTGCTGTTCTGGTCCTTGTTTCTCATCACAAGCAAGATTTTCTGAATCCTAATAATTCTTAAGTACAGTGTTTTCATGACTCGAATCAAATTTATTTTTATTTACTTTTATATTTTTGCAATTAATTTTTGTTTTCCAATTCAGACTATGGAAAACAAACAATATAGTAATTAAACCTACCTTGTTCCAAAATGATGGTCAATCTATATATTGTTTATATTTTGCATATGCTTTTCCAAACACTTTGTGGAGAGGAAAGGATAAAGTCACGTTTGTGCTGTCATATCCCCCCCCCCCTTTTTTTTAAGAACTTAACACTTAAGTTTCTTTTCTTTTGTTTTTTGGGGTGTCATGATGTATCGTAAAGGATTTTCTTGTCCGGAAGGAATAGGGATGTTGTCTAACTATAAACTAATAAATGTAATGCAGGTTGCGGGCAAATTCCGAAATAAACAATAGGATCCTGGCTACCTAGGCCTACATCATCACCACAGTATAATCATTTTGAAAATGACACTACCCTTCCCCCCCCCCCCCTCGCGGGGGACCGGGGCACTACTTGAAGCATATTGACCCTAATGATTGAGTAATCTGCTGCAACTTATGTTAGATTTAAATTTATCAGCGGAGTATATTAAATAGTCCCGAATTCGGGACCTACGCTGTCTTTGATAAAGTGTGTCCATTATGTTAGCAGTATTGTTTTACAATCACAGAATAATGCATTAGATAATTATATATGGTTTAAATAAATTTTGTTGAAGTGGGATTCCTTGGTTTTAAGGAAAAGAATCTTAAGTCTAATGATTCAAAATTCTAGTATAATGTTAAATTCTGAATTCAAATAAAATAAACTAAAAACTCTCTAATGAGTTGCATATTAGGTTACTTTTTAAAATCTGAAACAAATAAAGACACAGGCATATTCCACACACGGAAAACGGATCCCAGCAAGGATTTGGTTGTAGAAATTTGAAAGACTTAATCCTAGAAAAAATTGGAATTAAATTAATAATTCTCAAAGAATGGATTAGCAAGTGAAAAGTCGAGATAGTTAATCCTCATAAGGACGAACTCCAAACGAAAATGTACGCAATATGTGTAGTTCTGTATTGGCCTGTGTAGATCTCTATTGTATTCCTGTGACCTTGTTTTTTAATTAGAAATATAGTTTTGACAATGAAACGAATTGGCGTAAGACTGTAAGTCTGCTTGTATCTAACTCGAAGAGTAGTAACAACGACAACAACTAGAAGGGCTTCTTAATAATTCGCTTTAGAGTTTCATTTAAGTTAACTGAAACCTGAAAATTAAAGAATAAATATTAATATCATTCAAGGGATATTTATGTCAACATCATTCTATTTTGTGTAATTAATGGAGCGCTTAATATGATATCTTCTCAAAGTCCCGTCATTCGACATAAAAGAAGGCTCCTAATCTTTTCAAGTCACAGGCCACAAGCCTTGTCCATTGACCCGTTTGAAGCGTTAGATATACTTTATACTCAATATTCTTCACATGATAAGAGAGAAATAATTGAAAAATTTGCTTTAACGTTAAATGTGAAATCTCAGTGATCTTTGTATTCCAAATTTATAATTTTCTGCCAAGTTATCTCTATTAATTATACATATTAAATTAATATTTTCATCAATAATGGAGTATTCCTATAATATTTTCTTTTATTTATTATGCACAGTAGCTGTTATTTTTTAGAAAGCATATACCTTAAATGGGGATGAGATTGAAAAATCATTAAATTTTGGGACGATTAACCAAGTTTAAAATTTTTCTTAATTTTGGTAAAGCATATTATAAGTGATATAAATAGGATCAAAAGAGTAGTTTTTAATACAAATGATCAAACAAGCTATCTTAAGAAAACCAGTTTACATTTTCTTACATACAACTAACTGGTTTTTTTTGGCCAAATATAGAGCTAACTACTATTATTTATTCCTTTAGAACGACTGGATCATTTTTTTAGGTTAATGATCTCAAAATTATTCTTCCATACCTTTATAAAGAATATTCCTATGGACCAACATGTTGGAAGGCGACGTCCCCGCCCTGGGGTCACATCTTGTGGTCTTCTCTGTTTCTTGTGCTAAAGGAATATGGTTCTCGTATAACTATAAACTAATTAATAATGTTCAATGCAAGTTCAGAGCATCTTCCGAGTTGTTTCAAACTGAGTGTTGATCATAGTCTTTTGTGAAAAGTCTAAATAAACAACAACGTACTAGCTGGCTAGCTGGTGACGGTGACATCACTACAATAAGGGCGTAATTGGAGAGATGTGGATCTCTTTCTACTTCTTTTTTCTCATTTTATTCTAATCATCCCATCACCTTCATTTGTGGTTTCTCCTTCTGCCTACTTCTTTTCCCACTGACAATTTAACATGAAGAAATGCAGTGGAATGCAATTCTTGCCAGACACAACCACGCATGCTTGAAAAGCTTGCTGATATATCCCAGTATGATTTGACACCACAATATCGCTCCTTTTCCAAATATGTTTAGTTCAATTTTATGTTATACTTTTCTTATAATTTGCTTTTTTTTTTAAACTTCAGAAAATGTCGGTGTATGATACGGAAAAGAGGAAGTGAGCAAGATTATAATAAGCTAGCCATCTCTATATAAAGGGTACCTACGCTATAGCTGGTGAGCATTATCTAAACGCGATAGATGGTACAGAACATTGTAACCAACAACCAAACGAATAGCTAAATGAGTGACGAACTGGTGAGAGATATGAGTGCCCTCTATCGGGCAGCACGTCGTGGGGATGTGCAAGCTTTGGAGCATTTGTTGCAGCAAAACGCATCCATCCTTGACAACGTTCCAGATGACGGCTGTGAAACTCCCTTGCACATATCTGCACTGCTAAATCATGCTTCATTCACACAGGTTCTTCTAAATCGTAATGGTGACCTCGCCACTAGAAAGGATTCTGCTGGAAGAACAGCCCTCCACTTGGCTTCTGGAGAGGATAACTTGGAGGCCGTGCAGATACTGCTAGAATTTAATGATGAGCCATGCTTGGTGGCAGATAGAAAAGGAAGACTTCCTCTGCACTATGCAGCTATGAGGGGGAGGACAGAGGTTGTGGAAACGTTGGTCATAGCGCGGCCAAATTCTCTAGGTTGTCTTGACCCACAAGGTAATAGTGTTTTTCACTTGTGTGTCACATACAACCATTTCAAGACTCTGCAAGCATTGGTGAAATTGGACTATGCCACTGCCAATGTCACTGTAGGCGCACCTCGTGCTCCCATCTTTGTGCTCCCTAATCATACGGGAAACACCATTCTCCATTTAGCCGTTATGTACATGCGAGATGAGGTACATAATATATACTTTATTCTTCTCTCCTTTTCTTTTTCTGAATTGTGGTCACAGGTTCCTTTTTATTTTTAGTAGCCAGAGACTTACATGACAAGAAGAAAATATTAGTGTATAAGCTCTATATTTCCAAACACGCGTTGTGTGATTGTTGATTCACTTTATCTTGTTATGAAGAAACATATAGATCTGTTTTGATTTTCTTACGTTTTTAGGAGTTTAGAACAAAATTATTTATGAACACAACGCATTCACAAATGGCATGAAATTTAATGAGCCGAATACCTTGCCAACTTGTTTGTATCCAGACTGTCAGGTATGTGCTGTCGATTCCAGAAATAAGAGAAATAAGAAACCAGCAGAACAGTGAAGGCCTTACAGCCCACGATATACTCACATATGTGTGTCCAAAAGACTGGAAAATCGATGAAATAAAAACCATGTTGGAAAATGACAGGGAAGGAAATTGTTTTATGAAGATTGTTAAATGGATGCTATGCTGGATGAAGTATGGGGACACTACTAATTTTGTAGAAGAGGTGAGGGGGAATCTGAGTGCGGCATCTATTTTCATAACAACTGTAACCTTTCAAGCTTTAATTAATCCACCAGGAGGCTTCATTCAACAAGGCTTATTATCCCAAGGCAATACCACAAATTCATCATCATCTGACGCCCTCAACTGCACCACCCTTAATGATCTTCATCAGTATTGTCCCGGACAACCAGTCTCGTCCTTTCATGACCAACAAATATTTCGGCTGTATGTGGAATGTATTACTACGTCTTTTTTTGTATCAATTTGTGTCACCCTCTTGCTTGTAAGTGGAGTTCCTTTGCAGAACAGTGTGGTCGTGTGGGTTCTATCCTTTGGCATGTTGTCCACACTCTTCTTTCTTGCACTTGCATACCTCGCCGCCCTCGACTTAATGATCCCAGAACATCTTTCGGCATCCGAACTGCGGATCTTCACTTTCGGTGCATTTGCATTGCTTTTTCTGATGTATTTCATTCTAATGTGTCTGTTTCCTTGCATCCGGCTTTTGTCATTGATAAATAAGTATCTTATGAGTATATTATCAAGAAGCTGAAGTTAAGAAGTTGCTGCTGATCGATCTGTATCTGCCAATTGATGCCCGTCTGTGTTGTCGGCAAGAGAAAAGCAATAGATCATGCAGGAGTTGCTTTTATAATTATCGCTCCGGAGAACTGGAAGAGAAATTCGGGGATCCCTCTAATTTCCTTCGCATCCACAGGCTAACCCGTGAAGTCGATTTCTTCATTCCTCAGCTCCTTGCTTTTGCAGTTCCTCCTGCTCTGTTTCTTCACTGTACTGGATTGAAAAGAGAAGTCAGTACAGAGCATGCGAAGGAGATAAGGAGGCAAGATTCCATGCCACGTGGAGCTGACACTTTTGCCCCTAGTGTTGTCCCATATGTATGTAATAAAATTTCAAGTGAAGAAGATCCTTAATTAGTATCCACTACTTCTCTATTTATCTCTTAACGAGCTGATTGTTTAATATTACCTCCGCTTCTAATTATAAGAGCCAATTGACTAATTTGAGAAAATTAATAAAAGAAGTTAAATTAGTTATTTGTAATAAATAGGTGTCTAAAATATTCTTACTAATTAAGTATACTGGCTAAAACTATAATTATTAGAAGGACTATCTTGAAAAAAATTGAGTAAATGTGAGAGACCAAATGGATTGGGGTTTTATATTTAGAACCAACATAAAAATCAAATGGGGTCTTATATTAAGAACCAGAGGTAGTAGAAACTAACACTCTTGCCCGCTAAGTTAGAATAACTCCAAGCTCCTCTGTTACACATTCATTAATGAGGGAATATTCTTGGAATATACTTGCTGACTCCCCATGAAGTATTGGGAGCTTTGGGATGAAAAGTACTGCTACAAAATTGATATACATACTCCCTCCGCCTTTTACTCACTGGTCATTATATTATGATCAAGAGTAATTTAGAAAAGTTATTACAACAATCTTTAACATTTAACTAACTAAAATTAATTTCCATGGTAGTAGGAAAGCAGTTAACATGACCTATATAAAAGATCGAAGGTGCTATGAAACAAACACCCCGCCTCTCGTTTGTTATCTTCATGCTACTCCAAAATTTGAATGGCAAATGTATCGCAAATAATATCACAGAGATATCAAATTTATTTTCTTATGTCCCATATTCAAACAATCAAACTGTTTCATACATGAACAAGTATCTAAATGTTAAATATTCTCACTTATCATCATAAAGTAGGTGAAATAAAAATCTCACTTAGCACATTCTGTTACTGAATATGAAGAGTTGAAGACAATACTTATGACTGGAAAAAAAAATATTGTAACTCATTTAGGATTAATTAATAACTTGTCATACCAAAAAAAGATTATGAACAGAATCCTTAATGACAAAAAAAGCTTAATTAACAATATTTGTACATTATTTTAAATTCTATATTTATAATTACATACACATGCAGTGATATCGATGAGCAGGCTTGAATTGAATTTCTTAATCAGGCCAAAAAAATGAATTTCTTAAAACTAAAGAGGTATTTGGGTGAAAACCAAATAATGGTTTTAAAAGAAATCTTACAATGTACAAAGTATATATAAAAAGAGTTTTATCTCGATTTACGTGAAAATATTTTTTTAGTTAACCAAACACCTCCTAGGTCCAAGTCCAAACATGAACACTTTCAACCCTCAAGCTTTAAAATTCAGGCTTATACTTGAGGTGGGGGAAAAATCAGATTATGCTATTCATTCAGTTCAACCTTAAGGGATAGGACGAGACAGACAGAAAATCAGCCACTGAAACCAAATATGATGGGACTGGGTGGGCTTAGTTCTGGTGTGTGAAGTATGAATGTAGCATGCCAGCATCCAAATTTTTCAATATAATATATACAATCTCATAGCCTGCTTCATGCACAAGTCTCACAGGATTAGACAAGGGTTAAACAAATATCCACAGTAAAACAGCTCTTCTGCTAAAACCATAATTAAATTGTTTATAGAAGGCACCCTACCATAGAAAACAGAGGAAGTAAATAAGAATTCCTATTTTTGCTCCCCTCTCTTTTTCTTTCTTCCTCCTCTCATTTTCTCCCTTTTCCTACCTTTCTCCTTCTCTCAATATCTTCCCCTTTCCCCTTCCAGTTTCACATCACAAAATTAATTTGGAATGGTTTCTTCGTCATAGTTGGAGAATGCATTGATCCCACCTTATCTCTCTTCTAACGACTTTCAAGTGTTCATACAAAGATTTAAAAAAAAAAAAAAAAACAGAACGTGGTTGTGTGAAAAGTCCAGTGACCCAGGACAGAGCCAACATTATTGTTGGGCCCATATGTTGATGATGGAGTCAATCATGTTTTAAAAGTAAGGATATCTTCTTGACTTCTTCCATGTCATAATTTCTGAAAAATAAAAATATAAACAGAGATCGTCTCACTTATTTCTCATGACCATATATTGACTAACTCATCCCATCTTTTTAGTTATTTATATTTATGTATACAATCACTTCTCTCCTTAGTTGATAAGAATTATGAAAGGTTGGAAAACAAAGTATCAATGAATTAAGTAGCACTATATTGTGAACGTTCAACTAGAATTAGGTACAATAGACTGTGAAACTAAGTTTCCTTTTGGTTGAGCCGCAACACATGTGGGCCCAAAAAAGAAGCACTAAACACATTCATCCAAAATATAAGTATATGCATTTGCTAATCAAGAAATTCCATATATATATATATATATATATATATATATATATATAAAGGATACCATATAGTGAGGTATAGTCCAACACGAGAGACGGAACTCTTCAACGTAGGGGACCCAATGGAAGTTCTAGCCGTATCCCCGCCCCCCCGGCCCCCCCCGGGGGGGGGGGGGGGAGAACAAACCCTGGGGCAATTGTACAGAAATACGCAACAATCCTCGCCGACGACCTTCCAGATGGCCGTCAAACTCCCTTACACGCATCAGCACTGCTGGGTCATCTTCCATTCACAGAGGTTCTTCTTCATCATTATACTCCCTTGTAGGAATTAGTTGAGTGGTTGTATTTAGTCCTAAACATAGAATCTCAATATTTAAGTTCCTTTCAAGTTAATCGTATTAATTGCACATATTAAGAGATCACGTGTTTTTTTTAAAAAATTTTTTGGGTAATATTAGAAAAAGCAGTGCATGGCTTCTATATAAAGGGTACCGTATAGCTAGTGAGCATCATCGAACGCAAGAGATGGAACTCAACGAGCGAATGAGTGAATTGTACCGGGCAGCATGGCCTGGGGATGAACAAGCGCTAGGGCAATTGACACAGCCAGACGCATCAATCCTTGCCAACATTCCAGATGGCCATCAAGCTCCCTTACACATATCAGCACTGCTAGGTCATGTTTCACTTGCAGGGGTTCTTCTCTATCACGTTCGCGGCCTCGCCGTTAGAGTGGATTCTTCTGGAAGAACAGCCCTCCACTTAGCTTCTGTAGCGGGTCACATGCACATCGTGAGGGAACTGCTTCAAGTTAACAATCACCCATGCTTGGATTGTGACAGAGAGGGAAGACTTCCTCTGCACTATGCAGCTGTGAGAGGAAGAACTGAGGTTGTGCAAGAGCTGATCATGGGAAGGCCAGGTTCCCTAATTCATGCAGATGGCAGAGAAGAAAGCACTGTGTTTCACTTGTGTCTCACATGCAACCATTTAGAGACTCTCGAAGCTCTGGTGAAATTGGACTATGCCACTGCCAATATTACTGCGGGCCAGCCTCCTACTCCTATCTTTACGCGTCCTCATAAGGCTGGCAACACCCTTCTTCATTTAGCTATGTTGAAGCGAGTTGAGGTATGATATTCTTTTGCTATCCTTTTCCCCAGTTGTGATAGCAGTTATGCATGTATATTCCATTTTACACATGCACTATGATTAATGGTCAAAGGTAAGTATTAATTAGTTGTTCTTATAACTTATTTATATATGAACAAAGTACGGAAATCATATATAATTGATCTGAACATTTTACCATCATGTTCATCATTTAGGTGGTGTGCTATCTGCTGTCAATTCCAGAAATAAGAGAAATAGAAAACTTCACGAACAAATTGGGGTTTACAGCCCAGGATATCGTGGAACGAAGTCCAAAAGACTTCAAAATGGGTGAAATACAACAAATATTGACGAAGGCCGAAAAGGAAGGACTTGAAACTGGTGTGGTCCCTCCTCAGAGTGATGGCTGTTTTATTAAGATCCTTAAGTGCATATATACAATTCTTATAGATTGGTTGAAGCACGGGGATACATGGGTCGAAGAGACGAGGGGGCAGCTGAGTACGGTGTCCACCTTTATAGCAACTATGACCTTTCAAGGTTTGATCAATCCGCCTGGTAGCTTTATTCAACAAGGCTTATCACCATCTAAAGACAATATCACCTCATCAAATCAAGTCCACAATGGTACTTCACCTGATGATGACCCCTTCAGCTGCATCACCATCCCTCCTGATAATTACACGTATTTTCCTGGACAGGCTTTGGCTTCATCCTCTCAACTCCATAGTGAGTTTGTGCGCTATTCATTTTACGTTACGATCTCTTTTTTCTCATCACTTGGTGTCACCCTCTTGCTTGTGAGTGGAATATTTCCTATGAAGAATAGGGCTGTGATATGGATGCTATCAATGGGCGTGTGTGTGACTCTCACATCCGTTGCAGCAGCATACGATACGTCCATCAATATTATACTCCCAGGTCATCTTTTGCGGGAGAAATTAATTTCCAACGTGAAGTATGCAGCATTGTATAAGGTCTGGGGGGAATTGCTTACCCTAATAGTAGTGCTAATCTCAATGCGCTTTGACCTTTGGGTGGGGTTGAAGTCGAGCAGATGGGGAAGAGAAAATGGATATTTCAGATTTCTATCTGTGCTTTTAACTATTATTGCTTGTTTAGTGCTTCTTGTTGCCCCACCATTAATATTAAATTTAGTTTTTCGCTTTTTTGAATTATGAATATATTAGGGCTAAATCTATGTATATTAATCCTACCGTGTTGTTGCATTGGGTAATGAAATTGCTATAGCACATGAAGAACATCATTCTGTGTTCAGTTTTCATATTTCAAGAGCGCGCATTTCTATCTATTTTTAGTGTCTATCTATGTTCAACGCTAGCTTGAGAAACTTTGCTTATTGTGAATGATCATTTAGCTATATGTTTTTGAATTACTGCTGCTGTGTACTGTTAAAAAAAATAAAGGCAAATTTCAGAAATAACATTTGAGTTTCAAATGTTGTATTTTAATGACTGCTATGTTTTAAAAAGTTGCGCTAAAAATAAGTTGATTCAGATGGGTTCTATATGTCACTCCCAAAAATAATTTGTTATATTAAAGATAAAAAGTTATCTAATTATTCTGTTCCCAATCCATTTCTTTCC